TGGGTTGCCATTGTTTTAGTCGCTCTGTTAGAGGCCTTCTTTCCAGTGTAGGCTAGTCTCTAATTATTGCGATTCTTTCTCTTTCATCTAACAACAAGATGAAGCTCGTGCTTACATGTTAAGAGCTTGTGATGAATTGAGGTGACTTGAAAGCAGTGTTTTAGAAAAAGGCCCTGTGGTTCATTAGTAGATTTATCTCCCTCTCGGTCTGTACCTACCTACCTCTATATTCAGTACTAGCTGTGTGGTCAAGTCACTTCATTCTGTTTGCCTCAATTTCCTTATCTGTAAAATGAGCTAGAGAAGGAAATGGCAAACCACTCCAGTATCTTTGCCAAGAAAACCCCAAATACGCTCATGAAGAGTCAGACACAGCTGAAATAACTGAACAAAAGCAATATTCAGTATCCTATACGCTGTGGCCCCTTCCCTTTAAAAGGGTGTGTGGTCTTTAGAGGATCCAGTGAGATTATATGATGGCTGACTGAGAGGACACCTGGACCTGGACTTTTTCCTAATAATCCGACCCACTAGGCAGGACAACCTCTGTCTTTGCGCAGCTTCCCTGTTGGCCTAATGTTGTTGAAGATTAAGGTCAATGATAAGGAATAAGGAGCAGAAGAGAAATAACGAAATTTGAATTTGAAATTCTCAGGAGGCCAGAGAGCCTTGTCTGTGGAGATAGGGACAGATTCAAAATCACGGGCAGAAGTCTGCAGGATGTGATGCCATCGCTTCTCCTTCCTTTTCTCCAGCGTACTTCTTGACCTCTTGCAACCAAAGTGATTTCATGCTCGAGTGAAGCTGCCCCATCAGAGTTCCGGGATATGCTCCTAATTTGCAAATTTAATGGCTTTTTCTCAGTCTTCTTTTTTGGGCTTTCTGTAGCCTTTAACACAGGTGACTACTCCCTTTTGCTGCATATTATTGGGGATGTTCATGAGTCTCTTGGTTCTTTTACTTGCTTTGTTATTGTTTGGTCATTTCTGTCATGTCTGATTCTTTGTGACCCCATGTGGGGTTTTCTTGGCAAAGATACTGGAGTGCTTTGCCATTTCCTTTCTCTAGCTTATTTTACAGATGAGGAAACTCAGGCAAATGAGGATAAGTGACTTTGCCTAGAGTCACACAACTAGTAAGTGTCTGAATCCAGATTTGAACTCAAGTCCTCCTGACTCTAGGCTAGGTACTCTATCTACCGCACCACCTAGCTGTGCTTTTACTTGTCTGGCTGCTCCTCTTTTTGTCCCCTTTGCTATGTAAATTATAATAACAATAACAATAACTATATATATATATATATATAATATTATATATGTTGTATATAATAATAAGAAAGATAGCTAACATTTATATAGTGTTTACTGTATTCCAGGCACTGTGTTAAGTGCTACAACAACTTTGGGAGCTAGGTGCTGTTATTATCCTCATTTTACAGATGAGAAAACGGGTAAACAAACATTCAGTTACTTGCCAGGGTCACACAGCTAGTCTCTAATATTCAAAATACAGGTGTTATCTCTGGCTCTTTTTCTGCGTCTTTCACCCAATAGGTTACCAAATCCCTTCAAGTTTACCATTGTGGTATCTCTCACTTCTGCCCTCTCCTCTATTCTCACTGCTTGCTACCAAGCTAATACAGGTCCTCCTTTCCACCCACCTGGCCTATTGCAAAAGCTTCCTAACCTTCCTGCTTCTCATCCTCTCTACCCTTCAGTTTCTCCTTTTAGTACTGCCAGTTCTGATCAGGTCACTCCATTGCTCAATGGGCAATGCCTCCCACTGCCTAACAAATTAACTTCAAACCTGAGTTTCCCCTCCTCCATTCCTTTACTTACAATTTTCTATGCCTGGAATACCCTTGTCCCAGTTCCTCCGTGGTTATCTAATTTCTATCTATCTTTCAAAGTTCAACTCAACTCAAAAGACTCCTCCTCTGAAGAGGAGTCCACTGCTCCAGGGCAATGACTGGTAAGTAAGAAGGTAGAACAGAGTTAAGTCACCCAGTATGAGCACTTTGAATTATATTATCTTTTTCCTTAAAATAACCCCAAGAAAAATTCCCTGATTCTCCCAGTGTATAACAACATTTCTCTCTTTAAACCTTTTTGATACCATTCTGAGGCATTTATACATTAGAATTATATGTATGACATACTGTGTTAGTAGATCATGCATAAGGAGGCAGCCAGATGGCTCAGTGGATAGACTGCTGGAACTGGAGTCAGGAAGACATGAGGTCAAATGCAGCCTCAGACACTTAACTAACTGTATGATCCTGGGCAAGTCATTTAATCTCTGTTTGCCTTAATCCACTGGAAAAGGAAATGGCAAACCACTCCAGTATCTTTGCCAAGAAAACTCCATGAACAGTATAGTCCATGGGGTGATAAAGAGTCTGACACGCCTGAACAACAACAGACCACGTATAGGCTTTATAGAAGAAGAAACAAGGTCATATCTATGCTTGTTTCTCATCTGGCATCTAGAAGAGTACTGAGCATAAAATTGTTTGTTGAATCAAATTAAAGATCAGAACTTGTTGAATGAGATGGAAGGAACCTCAGAGATTAATTAGTCCAACCCCTTCATTTTATAGATAAAGATGCTGAGGTTGAAAAAAAGGAAAATAATTTGCTTAAGTTCATAAAGCTAGGATCAGCACCAAGATTTTTCCACATTTTGATTTAATTTGATTTGACTTTTACATTTTGTTTTTCTTACTATATATTCAGGAATGAAAATAGCAGCAATGATTAGGGGAATATCATATGAATTGAAATTCACATGAGCAGCAGAAATGAGCATGACTGTAGTAGTCCGGATTGCAAATGGTTTGGGATTCAGATGTAATTGCACCAGTGGTTTCCAAAGTGAAGGCCTAGAACCCTGGTTGGCTTCAGCATGACTCCAAGGGGTTCTTGATCAACCAAGAAGAAAGCAGGAAGATGGGTGGTATCCCAACCTTCTGGCCAAACAAATCTGGGTCTTGTCTCCAACACAACCACACCATCCCCTTCACCTATTATCCACCCAACCCTCTCCATCCCAGTCCCCTCCACGGTGGTACAAGCTTTTATTCTCTTCCTTTTTGCCTTGGAGTGGAATCCTCAGGGAAGTCATAACCTAAATTCAGCTTTGGGTCTTGCACCAGCAGTTGCACAGATGCCAATGGGGAAATTCTCCTTTCCTCAAGTATATCGCCACCTTGTCCCTCAGGTCACCTTGTGGTTACATTTTGTGCTCCAGGGCAGTAACTGGTGAGTAAGAAGATAGAATGCAGTTAGGTGGCTCAGTGGATAGAGCGCTGGGCTTGGAGTCAGGAAGACCAATCTTCCTGTATTAAAATCTTGCCTCAGACACTTACTAGCTGTGTGACCCTGGGCAAGTCACTTTAACCTGTTTGCCTCAGTTTCTCATCTGTAAAATGAGCTGGAGAAGAAAATGGCAACCACTCCAGTATCTTTCCTCTCTGGTGAATCCTTCATATAGCTACCAAAGTGATTTTCCTAATGCATAGGTCTGTTCAAATCACTCTCCTACTCAAAAAACTAAAGGACTTTAGTATTTACTCTCCAATCAAATATTATTTCATCTTTATCTCATCGTCATGTTCATTTCTATTTTTCCATAAGCTTATTTCACATATATGTACATATAATTGTTAGTACAGTAGTACATGCATATAACATAAATAATATATCTATACTGGGGTGATGCTCAAAAATCTCTTACTGATAGGAATTTCTAATCATAAAAGTTGGCTGACTACTGAGCTATACTACACAAATGATTGTGCATATCTAGAGTTATGTTGATTATATCTTGACAGGAAATGACTGATTACTGATGTGGGTATCATTTTGCATCAGATGTCTGTGTACAGTTAAGCTATCTACTCGTTAGAGGAGCAAAGAACAAAGTTGACAGCAAACTAGAAGAAAGGATGAGAGGAAAACGTTGCATTCAATTACTATAACTCCAACCTGAACTATTCAAGCAAGATATTAATATTGAGGAAATAGGAAATGGAAAGGAAAAGTCATTAACACTGTCTATCAGTATTTCCTCTGAGGCTTAACCAATACAAATCAATCATCATAATGAAGGGGACAAAGAGATCTTGTCAAGTTGAGAGATCTGAGAGGTTCAGGACAACACTTATTTGGAATCTGGACATACGCAAAAGCTCAGTAGAAGACCCAATGAAGCCAAATCATTCCAGGAACATATGACACTAGAAGAACAGATGGAAAATGGAACAAGTCTGTCAGCATTTCTAAAATAAACTTTTCCCCTTCCACTATCTGGCTTCTGCCTACTTTTCTCATCTTATTTCATACTTTTATTCATTCTGTTCCACTCCAAGTAGTTTGCTTTTTTGTTGTTCAGTTGTTTCAGTTATGTCTAACTCTTCATGACCCAGTTTGGGGTTTTCTTGGCAAAGTTACTGGAATGGTTGAGGAAACTGAGGAAAAGAGGGTGAAGTGACTTACTCAGAGTCACATAACTAGGAAGTTTTGAAGCCTGATTTGCAGTCAGGAAGATGAGCCAGCACTCTATCCACTGTGCCTCTTAGCTGCCTGTATATATTTTTTATTAACTTATATCATGCATATGTTGTAAAACCCCAGTAGAATATAAGTTCCTCCCGGGTGAGGACTATGCCACTTTTTTTTGTCTTTGTAGCCTCTGTTGACTAGCACAATGCCTCGCACGTGGTAGAACTTAATAGATATTTGTGGAATTAAGTTGAAGAATTTTTCCAGATGTTTTATTACGTATCCCAACTAAGAGATGTGGATTTTTTTCAGATGCAAATCTACTTTGAAGTAGTAAAACAAAATAAAACAAAAACCTGACTTTTTTCCCCCTTGGAACATTGAGGTCTTTAGTATAGACAGAAAAAAAGTACCTCAAGTTAAATTTTCTCCTTAGAAATGTCAATACAGGTCAACAGCTACTTCTGTGGCAGAGAAAACATGCAAAGGAAAATCTAGTTGGTATAAAAAAAAGATTAAAAAATTTAATGATTTAAAAATAGTCTCTACATAAAAGATAGCAAAAACAAGGATGTTGATTTAACAACTTGGCTTTCCTTTTGAAAACTTATATCACCATGTAGCTTAGTACAAACCTGTTACCTCCTAAAAATATACAACATATCTATAGCAACAAAGTCCACAAAGATATACTTGTGTTATAATTATTTTCAAGTTGTTGATGTCAGCCCCTCTTGTTTCATCTGTAAGATGGCCATTCAATGTCCCATCTCTTCTTCTGATGGAGCACAACTGTGAACATTACAACAGATGCTATTTTTCAAAGTACTTTTGTGATAAGCTCCACAATTCACCTTATTTCTTTCTGATCATGGATGGTCTTTCTTAATTCCATTTGCTATTCCAACATTTTGGTTGTTCAAAACAAGCAAATTTAATTCAGTAAAGCATATATTGCAAGGCAAGAGCATGCTTTGACATAGGCTAGAATAAAAAGAATGAACAAGGCACTGTATAGACATACCCTAGATAAATGCCTCTTGACTTCAGAATATGAGCGTACCTAACAGTAAACTCTTATAAAACCATTGCTTGCCCCCATTTTTTCCACTCCACTTTTCAGTGAATCTGTTCAGACTTGTGGCATGTATTATGGCCAAAAGATGTAATGGCAGTATTTAAATTTTATAGTCAGTCTATGGCATGCATGAAAGCTGTGACTCAGTGTCTTGTCTCATTGGAACTGGTCAGACTGAGGTTAGTCAGCAGAGATATAGCGAAGGAAGAGAGGGAGGCCTAAGGCTGAAATTGGTTCTAGGTTTGAGTTGGTGGTGGTGTGTGAGCATTGGGGAAAATTAGCAAGGTCTTCCATTGTCAAAGGTGATGTGAACCTCAATGGTCACCAGGCCCAGAAACCATCTAGTGTTCAAAAGTCTTTTCGTTAGATAGTAGCACCTAGGCAATGGGTGACAGCCAGCAAAGCATTAGTTTGCAATCTGCATGTCAGATATTTCCCCACTGTCATATGGCACATGAAACCATTTTTATTTTCATAGATATTTACAACTTGAGGCATACATGCAGTATATGTCCCTCCTCAAAGAGTTTTTCAATTTAAACAAGACCTTTGGAAAATCTCACAGCTGACTCTTTCATAAATGCAAATGATGAAACATCCGTGGGCAAACATGTGACTTGTCTTTATTGTGGCTTCTTCTCAGCTTAGCAATACCCCCCCACCCCCCGCTCTTAGCCAGAAATTACTTCTAAGTACACTCTTCCTACCTCCTCTAATGACTAAGCTGCTTTTCCTCCTTAGCACCTTAAATAATAGCTCATGTATTGACACACATTTTATAAAAATGTTGTTTACCAAATCTACCTGCTCAGAGGACCCAGTGCATTTTGGTATAAGGATTGAGAAAGGAGGGAAATTATGGAAAGGGTTCAACTGAAAGAGAAAGTTACTATTGTCCTCTTAATTATAAGGGATTGACTTGTGGGTACAGTCTGGTTCCCAAACACTGCAGTGAAAATGTCTAGTCCCTACCTCATATGGTAGAGTGTCATCAGAACCATCTGGTAGGTTCTCTGTGAAGATGTAGCACTTTGGAGATGCATAATAAGGTGCTTCTTAATTCATGTTTTTTTAAATGGAATGTGTTACATACATATCTACATGCTCCCATAGGCACATATGAGAACGTGATCAAATTTATGTACAGTTTATATATATCTATCTTAGATACACAAATGTATATGTAAGAACCAAACAGTGATAACAATTTTACCTCTCCAACTCCCTGAATGTCTAAACGTCCTCTAATTCATAAAACATATTTAAAATATTTCATATAAAATATCTACAAAAATAGATAACATTTACATAAGCCAGACAGTATTTCCAGTTTGATTCTACGGCCCCCTCAGTCTCTTTTCCCCTCTTCCCCTCAGAATGTCGCCATCTCCAGCAATGAACGCTTGAACAGCTGTGCATTTCTGGACAAGTCTGTGACTTGGTGCACCATTTCTTGCAGAGCAGGTGTGCTTGGGTAATGTAGGGCCGCCATCTTGGTGGCCATCACGATGTTCTTAAGTTGCTCACACAGCTGGTTACTAGAGTTCATCACCTTGTTACGGATCTCTTGGGAGGCCACTTGCCTTGTTAGCGTGTCACCAATGAACACCAGCTTGTGTGCGCTTAGGATAACAAACTTGCTATGCGCCACAAAGATCCTTGGGGGCTGGGCTGAGCTGACGCAACTGAACAGGGCATCGATGGCATTGAGAAGGGAGATGTAATGAGTATCACATTGGTCATAGTAGAAGAAAAGCAGCTGTCTGTCCTGGGCGCCCACACTACTATTTGTAGCTGGGAGGCTCTGAGAGGGCTTCCACTTGGAAATGTCATTCTCCACAGGCTTGGTAATTTCTTGTTCTAATAGCTGGAACTGACTGATCTGAGGAGGAAAAAAAAATAAAGCTTTATTTATAAAAATACCATGTAGTAGAATGGAAAGACTATGGCACTGGACATTTGGGTTCTTTGGCAAGTCACTTCAGTTCTCTGGACCTCAGTTTCCCTATTTGTAAAATGGATGGCTTGGGCTAGATGATCTCTAAGGTCAACCTGCATTTCTAAAATGTTATCATTCTGCTCTTCAACTCTCAGGCTACAAATACTGTCTGACAAGATAATGCAGTTCTTAAGAGAAAAAGTAAGGAGGGTGGATGGGTGGAGAATAGTGCCTTGGTGTATAGCAGGTGCTGAATAAATGTTGGAATGAACTAAAAATTCATATTCTGCATATGAATCGCTAATGAAGCCAGTGATGGTATCAGTTGAGTCAATTATTTTTCCACCTTTAGGAAATGCCTTTACAAGGGTCATTAAAAATGCTCAGATAAAAGCCCCTGTTTGTTTTCTACATGTCTTCTGTCCAAACCTATCTACAGATCTAGAATCGTCCACCATCTTACCATGAGTCAATACATAGAAAACAAACAATTCTTGCTAACAAGAGGCTAACATGAGAATTATCATTACACCTTTTGTTTTGCAGTAACTTCTAATGGTTTCACCGAGTCTCTTGATGACCCTTGGTGCATGCACATGTCCAAACCAACGTGGACATCCCTTTGCCTGCAGGTAAGAAAACTGAAGTCATTAGCTGAAGCTATGGGACTTGTTCAAGTTCCCACAGCGGGAAAATGGTGGCAGAGGGAGAAGACCACACAGCCTTTCCCCAGGAAACTAACAGTTAACAACCTCTGGGAATCTGTCACTTGGATTCCCTAAGCTAGACTTGTTTCCCAAGGTCAGGAAGGCTCCAGAGTTATCGTCAAGTGGCCAAACATAACTGAAAGCTGTGAAGATAAGAATAATTTACATGCCTGTAGCTTTAAGGCTTATGAGCATCTCATCTGTACCTTAGAACAGCTTAAAAGAGGCAGGCAGAGCCAATGCATTATTAAAATCCTCACTTTACAGTTCATGAAACTAAGGCTCAGATAGAAGTTAAGTGACTTGTCTAAGTACCTACATCTAGTAACTGGATGAACTGGGATTAGAACACAATTTCTAGTGAGCAGTTCTCAAACTTTTCCAGTTTTTCAGTATAAACAAAACTTTGGCAGAACTCTTGTGACAGGGTAGCTAGGTGGCGCAGTGGATAGAGCACTGGCTCTGGAGTCAGGAGGACCTAAGTTCAAATCCGGCCTCAGACCAGACACTTGACATGTACTAACTGTGTGACCTTAGACAAGTCACTTAACCCCAATTGCCTCGCCAAAAACAAACAAACAAACAAAAAAGTTTGGGGCAGCTAGGTGGCGCAGTGGATAGAGCACTGGCCTTGGATTCAGGAGGACTTGAGTTCAAATCTGGCCTCAGACACATAACACTTACTAGCTGTGTGACCCTGGGCAAGTCACTTAACCCCACTGCCTAACCAAAAAAAAAAATCTTGCCCAGTATAGCCCTGCATATATATTCCCAAGTTAGTGACAAAAAGAAAGGCATCAGATACAACAGATAAATAAATAAAAGAACTCTTGTAATAAAACCCTCTAAAATTTTTATTTTTAATGCTTGTTAATAAACAACATTTTTGTTGTCATTTTTCAGTTCTGTCTGACTCTTTGTGACCCCATTTTGGGGCTTACTTGGCAAAGATACTGGAGTGGCTTGCCATTTCCTTCTCTAGCTCGTTTTACAGATGAAGAAACTGAGGCAAACAGAGATAAGTGACTTTCCCAGGGTCACATAGCTAATAAGTGCTTGAGGCCAGATGTGAACTCAGGAAGATGAATCTTCCTGACTCCAGGCCTGGTGGTCTATCCACTGTGCCACCTAGCTGCCCTAACAACCATAAAAACTGTTAAAAATAAATAAATAAACAGATAAACAAACATAAGGTTTGTTAAAAAAACAAAAAAAAAAACTTAGGGTGTTTCAGAGTTCCATGCAGCACAGTATAAGAAACACTAACCTAGTGCATTTGCACTACTGACTAGTACCAGAAGGTCCAGAAATCTTCTCAAGTCCTCCTCTAATCCCTGCTATCTTAGTTTACTGGTTTAGCCCCTAAACCAGGAGCAATTGCTTGTATTCTCAGTATTGAGAACAGCACTGACTTGCCAGGACTAACATCTATTTATCTGTTCCTATGCCCTTTCATGGGCCAGGAAACTTTCATATACTGAGATCCCCACGGAAGGATAGCCATGTTCCATTTTCAAAGTCCCATCTGTGCTGGTCTTCAGGAAAGCTTCCTGGCACCATGAAATGCTTTTAGCCTTGACTCAACTTACCTGATGATGTTCCAACTGCATCTTGTTCTGTTTGATGATATTTTCCTTTTCCAAAAGCTCTTTCTGCTGCCTTTCAAACTCTTCTTTCCCCTGTTATTTTACAAGAGAAAAGACCCATTACATCACTGCCATGATTCACTTGTGCTAACAATTTAGTTGACAAATGGGTAAATATTGCCTTGTTTTCCATTGCTGTGGCTACTTGCCACACACACCCACCTATGCACATAGGTACAGTATAATGTCAACCTGGCCCTCAGCCACAGTCTTCCCAAGGCCTTAATCCCTCTTAATGCTGAGGAAACAAACCAGTTTCCACACACTGTACTGTGCTCTCTGACCCCTAACAAGCTTTTTTGATAGGCAGATTGGACTTCCTTCAAACCTCTCTTGGAAGCACCATTTCCAATACTCTTCTCTAATGGATTCAAATTGGCCTCATAAACCCTAGTTCCACCATCTGTAACATGAGGGAGCTGGATGAGATGATTTCTAGGGTCCCTTTAAGTTCTAAAATCCTATGACTCTGACCTCTGAGGCCAAGTTTAAATCTGGCCAATAAAACTTACTTCTGGGCCCCTGAAGTTCCTCATCTGGCTCTGTTCTAGAGATGGCCATAAGCCAAGGGTGAAAAGTACCAAAATAACACAGTAAACCTAATTCACATTGAATGGAGTCAAAGTTCAGTGACCCCTGCAGAACAAACAGGCCAGAAAACTAGGTGCGATACTGCTGTTGTTTCCCTTGCTGATGAACACATACCTCCATGGAAAAGAGCAGTTAGAAGAGGCGATCCTCTGGGTCACTGGGTAGGTGCCTAAGATGAGGGGTGAGATCAAAGGCAATGGCTGACTGCAAACAACAATTCTGGAGTTGAAAAGTATCAGAGATTCAACTTCCTCTTTGTGTTAGGAAGATGAGAGAAATTATGAGTAGGTGAGCTGTTCAAGGGTTCAGAGCTGGTCAGGGGCAGAGCTGGGATTTGAACCCAAGACTGCTGACCTCTACTCCAGGCCTCCATTACATGAGTATAGCCAGGCTACTTAGGCTAGCATTATTAGTATTATCTTTCCTTTAGCAGCCGCTGGTATAGATCTTCTTGGAAAGGAAACAATGGAGTCTAACAGAAAGTTGTTGTAGTTATTATTATTCAACCACATCCGATTCTTCATGACCCCATCTTGGGCCTTCTTGGCAAAGATACTGGAGTGGTATGCCATTGCCTTCTCCAGTTCATTTTACAGATGAGGAAACTGAGGCAAACAGGGTTAAATGACTTGCCTAGGGTTACACAGCTAGTAAGGATCTGAAGCCAGATTTGAACTCAGGAAAAGGAGTGTTCCCTGAATCTAGGCCTGGCTCTATCCACTGTGCTACCTAGCTGTCCTTAATAAAAACAGCAATGTATTTAAAGAGTCCAAAGGCCTGGGTTCAAATCCTAGCTCTGCTACTTACTAGCTGTGTGACTTTAGGCAAGTCACATCAACCATAGGAAGGTAGGAAACAAGCATTTATTTAGTTCCTACTAGTGGGCATTATATGCATTCTTATTCTCTTCCCTTCTGTGTGTAAGGCATTGTACTAATCACTGTACAACTATTATCTCATATAATCCTCACAGCAACCTTGTGAGGTGGGTGCTATTATCATCCCCATTTTACAGCTGAAGAAACAGAGATAGACAGAGGGTAAGTGACTTGCCCAGGGTCCCACAGCTATGTAGTGTCTGAGGTCGGATTTGAACCCAGGTCTTCCTGACTGCAGGCCCAGAGCACTATCCACTGAGCCACTAACCGTTCAGATCCTTTGAGGTCCATTTCAGCCCGTTCGTTTTATGGGTAAAGAAACTGAGGCCCAGAGGGTTTAGGTGACTTGCCCAAAGTCAGACTGGTAATAGCAGAGCCAGGATTCAAATACAGGTCAGTGGGCAACAAATTCAGGGCTCTTAGAACGCCACTGCCTATAGCACATCCTTTCCGTGGACTTTAGTATCCTCATCTTTAAAATGAGGGCCAGATGATCTCGAAAGTCTCCTTCAGTTCTAAAAGATACAGTGCCTGACTGGCCCGGTGTCCTTACCTGCAGGTGGACGTAATCATAGTCGTCCATCCAGCTCCGCTCAGAGCTATCGTTGCTATTGCAGTCAGGATGCTGGTCCTTGCTTAGACTTGGGGGCAGTGACTTGCAATAGGGCTGGGCCTTGTGGTCAGCGGGATGGAGCAGCTGGGTCTGTGGACCCGTGTGCAGGTGGTCAGCTGCACTGGTCACGTTCTCAGACCCATTCTTTAGCCGCACACTGCCCGGGGCTGACCGGAAGAGCATTTCCGCGTTGGTGCTGATGGTGGTAGTAAGCTGTTTGGTGTCATCTGGCACTGTCTTTGCCACCATCACAAACCGATCAAGGTCATCGCACTTGCTTTGAGGTTTATTGACAGCTAGAATGTTCAAGGACCAACTGCAGCCGTTCAAGTCCTGGCTGGTCTGGGTCAGAATCTGGTGGGAGTCTTCGACCCTCTGCAGCTCTCGCTTCATTTTGTTGTGCAAGCTGAGTTCGGGAAGGTGTGAAGCATTTGCTACGGCCCCCTTGGCAAAATGGAGGTACTCCCTCAAAGACAGCTCTACCTTTTCCACTGCTGTGCGGATCTCGTTGATGTGCCGCTCCATGTAGCCGTAACACCTCCAATCAGTGGTGACCAGCGCGGTAAGGCTGGACACAACCATCTCCAAAGCCTGCTGAAGCCGATAAAGTCTCTCGATGGCTGTGTCCGGATCCAGCAGTAACAACCTTTTGTCCTGAGATGGTGAGGCTGACAATGAGGACTCCTTTGATGTCGTGGAGGAGGTGGACATGTTGCTCCTGGTACTGCCTGTGCTGGAAAAAGAGAGCCTATTCATGCCATCTGTCACATCCTGGCACCCTTTAGTCTCCTGTGTGTTCTGTGGTGGGACATCATACACTCCATCTTTTTCTTCGGCATTTAATCTTTCATTGGCCACTGGCTGTGGCTCAAGAAACTGAACTCCTCGCGGGATGTCGTACGCATCATTCTGAGAGGCTGCAGGTTGTCCAAGGTGCGTGTGCTGGTGGTTTTGAAGAATGCTTTGGTGTTTCTGAGATACCTGCTCAGCAGCTCCTGAAGCATCACAGTTGTATTTTACGTTAAGGTCCTTCCCTACTGCCTTGGAACTTGTCGGAGGAATGTCATAAACCCCCTCAGGTCTGACTTCTGGTCTTAGGTGTTGTCTCATAGGAGGAGGGAAATCATATTCCTTTTCTCTTAATCCTACTTCATCTCGGGAAGCAGGTGGAATGGCATAAACCTGAAACACACAAGGAGAAATCAGTCAGACATGCATGTACCAAACTGTGTAATTTACTCAGCCAACTTCTGTGAGTGCAGAGAAAATAACCAGATACAATAGAAAAGTAAACATATACTATACAATGCCTTCATAGGGAGTCTTTTGCTCCTCTTGTGCCCAAATGTGAGGTCACCTGCAATATTTTATGAGCTACTTTTCCTTTAGCCACTATACTTACTCCTTCAGCGAGTCATTCCATTCCATGAATTCAACTATTATATCTATGTGGATCATGGTGAGATCTGTATCTTCTGTCCTAACCTCTCTCCTGAGATCTAGGTATTTCCAGCTCTACTTGGCTCTACCAACCCCTCAATGGGTCTCAAACTGGATTCATTTTTTCCTAATCCAAACACCTCATTTTTGTTTGGGATATAACCAATTGGGAGGCTAGACACATTTTGATGGTAAACAATGGCTCACATTTCTGAAATGTCTTTTGGAATTAAGTCTGGGGCACATTCTTTTGAATCTTTTTAACGGGGGAAAATCTTTGTCCTCTGAAGGCGGATTTGATTTTTGGAAATAACCAAAAGTTTACAGGGAGCCACACTCAGTGAACAGGGTGAGTGATAAACATGGGTAGCAACATTTTGGGGTCAAAAACAAGGTACAATAATGAAACAGATTACTTGGTATGGCTTTTGGATAGACTTGTAATGAACACTTCTTAGGAAAACTTTTGAGCAATGGCAGTTTGTTTGGATGAAGTATTTTTGTCTTCCAAGATAGCTACCCTGGAGGACAATCTGGATGTTTAAATTATGGCACATCTGGGAGGAAATTAGTCATTTTTTTTAGTCACATGGGGTGTGACTATTCCATTTGTTCAATGAGTGGGTGTCTAAAACTTTTTCCCCTTTGAAAGATTCCATACAATTGCTTAACAAGTAAAAAAATACCTCTTCCTACCAAAAAATCCCCCAAATAACTAGGATAATTTGACTTACTCCTTTCACAGGAGGGATGTCATATACCCCTGAAGGTTTCATCTCTCCCATTGGAGCTGAGAATGCTGTGCCCTTCAGTGATGTTGGGGGGATGTCATAAACCTGGAATGAAAAATCTGGGTCATGAAAAATGGAAACATTTCATACAAGTCACTTTTGGAGTACTTCTGAGCTTTTGGTTCCAAGTGTTTTTCATAAAGTGATTTGAAAACTTAATCTTTTGTAAGGGCCCAAGTGATCAAGGGCCAATGCACTTTTCATTTTAAATTATATTTATATAAATTTTTTTTGAGGGAGCCTATAAACCACAGTTTACATTTAATTTTTTGAGAGTGTTACCACACATATAGACCAAAATATAATGAACTATATAAAGATAGATATTTTCTTCTCAGCTAAAGGACTTGCGTTTCCAGATGAAGAAAACCCCAAATTTCTAGGTTGAGTTGTTATATGTAAAAATGACTATTGGTAATAATGATTTTTATGTAAAATTATACATATAAAACTATATATACATTATATAAACTACTTATATAAAACCTCATTTTGTAAAGAGTTTATTTTATAAGGATTCACAAAGAGTTTCCTTAGACAACCTTATAAGTCAGGCAGTACATGTATTATTGTTTCCATTTTGACACAGAGATGTTGAGGGACTTGCCTAGGGTCACACAGCTAACTAGTAAGTGTTGGGGCCAGGACTCAAACCCAGGTTTTCTGACCCTATGATTCTTTCCATTAAGTCGATCAACATCAAATGAAAATAATGTTGTCACAAAATACCTTTCCTTTAAACTTCAGCTGATACCTGAAGATATGCTACACATTAATATTTTATTTCTGCTACATTATTGTTACTTACCCCTTGGACTGGATGAGATGGAGGTATATCGTAAGTATCCTTCTGGTACTTGGATGGGAACTCATACGCATACCCATGGCCTGTTCTTACGGGGGTGATCACCTGAGGGTTAGAAAAGACGGAAATGTCAAATTATGAACCTGCATTCTTAGCAATGGATCAAATTCCTTTCTGGCTCCTGCCTGAATGAACACTCCCAAGCTCTTTATTCTTCTTTCAACAAATGAATAAATAAAATAAATAAATAAAAATGGAAAGATGGAGGCAAAGAGAGAATGAGATGAAGGGAAGGCATTACAGATCAGCAGTCATGTGAAATTCCTGTTGCTTTTTGGGCAAATGAATGATAAAAAAGAAAAACAACCACCTTTTTTTCCTACTTCCTCCTGCCCTAAATAACACAAACATCTCTAAAAATGCTTCCCCCTTAATAAAAGACTTTGTTCTGGCATTTTATCTGACAATTGTAAGCATGAAAAGTACTAGATTATACCTTCAGAGTCATAAAGATTTTTTTTTCCTCCTTGAATCAAAATCACTATGTACTGAATTGGTTTTAATGACTCTAAAACTATGTGCAAAGTGAATAATGGGAGTCGAGTCCAACCACTTAAAATTCCCCTCATAGCTTCAACTGGATACAGCATTTCCCCTGCCCCTCCTTGCCAAACTTTATTATTGTGAGTGTAGCTAAAGGGCTGCTGGTGAACATAGCATTTTTACGAATCTACCAGTTCAAATAATGCTACCCTTGGAGACCTAAAAGAGTTTGTAGTCCAAGGCAAAGTATCAATAATAAGAGTTAAGTCTGCATAATTGTGACTAGGAGCAGAGTTCAGGTCTCCCGACCCTGGCTCATTGTGCTAATCATTTTCTCATTTCCATTAGGGTAGCAACAATCTAAGCAGGACATACTTCCAAGTAAGTCAAAGGTCAAACACCCCCATCATGGCTTCTGGCATCTGGAATTAATGTAAATGAAATGGATCTCACCTGACAAGCTCTTGTTTCTATATAATTCTTTGGGGGCCTTAAACATGGGTTGAGAAAGACCTCTAAGAGATTTTTTTTTTTGAAGTTAACTCATTTTGAAGTGTATTTACTCACTAATTCTCCAAGGGCTTCTAAATTGCTGTGCTTTCTTTTTTGGCATCAATAATATCACCCTCAAGTACTGCAAACTGTCCTTGAGGAGAGCAGGCCTCACAAATTAGAAACAAGAGGTGGTTCCCTCAGCAACCATCATCTTTTATCTTTTTCTCTAATGTGAAAACTCTGGCGTCAGGCTGCTCACAAAACTATGTGAAAAATGTTCCACCATCCTAGGGCTCAAATGGGTGGAACTTGGCCAAAAGTACCAATCCTCCTCTCAGCAGGGACCCTAAACCCTGAAAGGCTGGAACTCAGTCTGGTGTTAAGTCCCTCACACTGAAGTCCACTACTTCTTGCAATTAAGGTGAAAAGGATTTAGCACACAGGCTAATGTTTTCACATACTCTCTGCTTCTCAGGCTTTTCCAAAAGAAAATGCCCATCCTTACCTGAGACTTCCATTGTGTTCCTTGGGCCTGCTGGTATGGGAGGTGAAGAAATAATTTATGGAGTAGCCACCACACAGTACATATCACATTTTTCCCTTTTAAGAACTTGTCTTTTGCAAACACAATGCCGAAGCTACTGCCCTGTTTCATGCCTTCATAAAAAAAAAACAAACGCCTGCCGGGCACTATCATTCACTGGGGTTCTAAGGTATCTTCCTGCTTTTCTTTGCTACTCCACTTATAGCTTTCTGATCTTGACTTAAAAAAAAAAAAGTACTATCTGCTCACAAAGCCGCTTTTGTTCAGTCCCTAAAAGTTTCTAAGAGTGGCTACACCCAAAGCTGCCAACTCAGTAAAGCAGCTAGAGATCCGAGGTTTGTTATTCTCAAGCCCAGCTTTAACTGTTTTGTATTTGCCTTTAAGGAAAAAAAAAAGACCTAAAATAGCATTTGGTGAAATGTTAACCTACAGAAATGACTTCGGAAGGGAAGGGACAAAAAAATGTAAAGAATAAAATAAAAAAAAAGAAGGGAGGGGCCACAAAAAAGGGGGACTGCTTTTCCTTGCCTTTGTGGCCTTTCCCTGGCAGAGGGTATTTGTTGTTCCCAGTACTTAAAAACTCACTTCCTGACAAATGTCACAGAACTGCAAGCTCTGCCCCTAGTTTCCCCCATTTAAAGAATGCCTGTGGTCATATGGTTTTTGAAAACCCCTGCATTCCAAACTCATCATTTTCCTTGTTTGTGCATTAAAAGAAACAGATGGCAAAACCCATAGGGAAAAAAAAATACATACACACAACACAACATACCACACTGCTGCCTGACATCTCAACCCCCCCTCACCCCCCCAATTACAGCATTCTCCAGTGTTGTGGCCATTTAATCTTGGTCCACAAATGACAATTTAACTAGGACCGGCTTTTTTCATCAGGACAGATACATCTAGCACATGTATTAATTTTCTGACGTCTGAAAGAACTTCTAGTTCTAGTCTTCTAGTCTACTCAAAGACATGCTCCCTCCTGACCTATTGCTTAGGTCATTTCCATGCCAATTAACAGGGTTTGGGTTTTTTTTTTTTTACCCAGAGGAAAGTGCTGACTGGGTAGTACCTTGCAATGTATCTAGTTCTGTGGTTCAGTATGTCTTTCTCCCAGCCTCACTTAAGTACAAAACATTTTTTCTCTTCTCTGATCCCAAGAAAAATGAAGGGAGTAAGCATTTATCTATGCGTCAGGCACTGTGCTAAGCACTTTCCAATTATTATTTAATTTGCTCTTCACATCAGCCCTGCAAGATAAGTACTGTTATTATCCCCATTTTATAGTTGAGGAAACTGAGGCACAGAAGTTAAGTAACTTGCCCAGGGTCCCACAGCTTGTAAATGTCCGAGGAAGGTCTTTCTGACTTCATTCCCAGCATTCTATCCAGTTCTTGCTGCATCAGTAAATACTGACTGTAAGAATCGGCGGGGGTGGGGGGGGGGGCGGCAGCTAGGTGTAGCAGCTAGGTGGCGCAGCTAGGTGGCGAAGTGGATAGAGCACTGGCCCTGAAGTCAGGAGGACCTGAGTTCAAATCCGGCCTCAGACCAAACACTTGACACTTACTAGCTGTATGACCATGGGCAAGCCACTTAACCCCAATCGCCTAAAAAAAGAAAGAAAGAAAGAAAAAAAAGAATAGGGGGAGGGGACCTTCAGTGACAAAAAGTTAAGTTTAAATGCGATCAATTCTCATGAAAGAAAACATCAAGGCATACTTATTGGAATCATTCTTTAATGTAAAATATGTCTTTAAAGCTGTTTTCTCAAGGAATGTTTACCTATTCTTCTCCTTGTTTTTTCCTCTAACTATTCTTCCTCTAACTATTTCTCTTGGGCATTTACTAAATTATCCACTAAAGAATGATGCCTCTTTGTGGGATAAAGATGGCCTTGAGATTGTGAAGGCTCCATCAGTGGTGGAGCACAAATTCTGCCAAGTTCCGCCATGCTGGAAAGGCTCTGTGTCTAAGCCCAGCTATAGATCAGGTTAGCTAAAATTCAGTGAGGCTTATCCCTACGAGGTTGGTCAATAAGTGGTAGAACTTTTTTTTTTAGCCATAATAACCCATTAAACTATTAAGACATGGGGAAGGAGAGGGATCATCTGCAATCTCATTAATGGAGGGGGCACTCGTATGAAATCACAGCTTCTTAATAAAGTGTCTTTAAGTACTTATATAGGACCAAGGTACAGAGAATAGCAAATTGATTTATTTCACTAACATCTCTACAAAAGGAATCTTTGCAGTTCTCCTGAGATAATCTTGTTTCAATTATTCTCTGTACTCTGGGGTCAACTGATCCATTTGGTGATTTCTTTTCTGCCTACGTGGTCTCTGCTGCATCATGTCTTTCTAAAGTACCAGATCAAGGAATGGTCAGAAAACTGGGACTTTGGGTTCAAATATGTGATCCGTCTTACAAATTGAAAGTCAGTTTTTAAACCGAGCCCCTGCGACTGTAAACCCAGCACTTTCCATGATAACACATTAACAAGAGAGCTTCACTGTCTGTCCTCTAGAATCACAATCAGTCACCACATTGATCTGAAGGTTTTCAAAATTGTTCTCCTTTACACTCATCATGTGAATAGTACTCTAGCTTCTGCTGTCTTCATTCTGGTTGCATACTATCCTGTACTCTGGTCAAGAGATGTACTTGGATAACTTCTTTTCTTTTCTACCTACAAGGTCTCTCCTCCTGTTTAATGTCTTTTTGAGACATTTTGATGCCAGCTAACTGAAGTCTTAGAAGACTTCGTCTTTGGGCAAGTATCAGACTCTGGTGAATTTTAATTGATTCTAGAATATTAAATGTCCTAGACTCTTCTTCTAGGAGAGTAAGAGATACTGTTAATTCAAAGACTAGCTGTTGTTGTTCAGTCTTTTCACTTGTGTCTGACTCTTGGTGACCCCATTTGGAGTTTTCTTGGCAAAGATACTGGAGTGGTTTGCCATTGCCTTCTCTAGCTCATTTTATAGATGAGGAAGCTGAGGAAAATAGGGTTAAGTGACTTGCCCAGGGTCACATCGCTACTAAGTGTTTGAGGCCAGATTTGAACTCAAGAAGATGAGTCTTCCTCTTTCCAAGCCCAGTGCTCTATCTACTATACCACCTAGCAAAAGAAAAGTTTAAATATCCAATTCAGAATATTAATAAGAACTAAGAGACAAAGTATATGGTACAGTGGAAGACAATGGTATAATGACTCAGCTTTGCCACCAGTTGTCTGTGCTACCTCAGGCAAGTTAACATCTCTGGGCCTCAGTTTTCTTACCTGTAAGTAAAATGTGGGAATTATATAAGATGACCTCAAAGAATCCTTCTAAATCTATGGTCCTATGATACTGTTGTAAAGGAAATGAAGCATACATTTTTCAGACTTGGCTAATACACAGCTTCATTTGTTTGATGTTACTTATCTTTTGCAAGGGAGAGTTTTATTAGGGGTGGAGGAGGGCAGTCACTGGAAAGTGACAATGATGTAAAAAGAATAGCAATAAAATATCTGATTAA